ATTTGGGGAAATTTATTCTCCTTTTCCCATAAATACAGATTGCTGTATTATTTAAAAATCAAACCAAACAGCATGTAATCAAAGAACGCTTGTATCCGCCATATGTAATATTGTCACGTGACATTGTTATGTTTTGTTTCGCCTGGGAAGCGTTTATTATACACAATAGAACTCCAGTGTAGTAAGCCATAACTATGAACAATATCATGTCCCAAATAAATAATCTAATTTGTAAATCTGCAATTGGTCACATGATGGTCCGAAAATTATTTGTATGGCTCTATAGAGCGTACCCGATACATGACCTATATACAGGCCGCCGCCATGTTGGTGGACAACAACACGAAGCCTCTTCGTGATCATGGTAATAGATTTTAGTACCATCCAACATTGATTGTTTTTCAGAGTAAATAAATATAAATACGCCAGAAAATAATTTACATCTTTGAAAAGAGCTATGAACGTGCTTTTCAGTGATAAGTAATATAATATCTGGAATTTTGTATTAAGACCCATATTTTTAATTTAAATACCCTATTCCCGTCAAATAATACGAGTTTCGTACCACACTGGACTTTCATCGCTTTTCAAGGCATGTAAATATGACTGTCCTGGAACATTATTTATATACTTGAAAGGGGCAATAACCATGCTTTTCAGTGATAGGTAACATGATATATTATGTAATTTCGTATTCAATCTATATCAAATCGAGCAATGTAACAGCGCTTCACGTTTGAGGCGATCGATCGCTGTCAGGTTTTTCATCGCTCTTCCGTAGATAAAATCGCTCTCGTCATTTCTTACAAAATTGCCCCCCCCCCCTCAAAAAAAAGAGAAGAAAACCCCGAAACCCCAGACTGCAAATAAAGCCCAAGTAAACGAATCCACGAATATCGTCCAATGAAAATTTTATTTTTGGCACCAAAAATAAGTAGCCTATCGCTGAATTCGATACTCGGTTCTGGAATCACGATGCCTAAAGTAAATATGTGCTTGAAATATTTTTGTTAACGTGAAATTATTCTATTAGTTCCTTTTTTTTGTATAGGCCTTATGGCAAATTATATAGCAACTGCACACTATATATTCCTACGGTACTACATATTGGTCATTGAGGTTATCGATCTAAAATTAATTCCAGCCAATAATACTACAAAGTATGCAATATGCAAATAAGATTATTCGCCTTTGTGCTTGCACGCTGTTAACTAATAGTTTCTGGAAATTTTCCGGCGTTTAGACGGCTCTAACCAATGATAAAATAGTTGGCGACACAGCGGAAAGTCTGCATTTTTACGATATTTCCTCTTGATTAAAGATGAATAACAGAAATAATAAAATGATTATATCGAATCAGTGAATAATTATTATACCTCAAATTAAAATTTACAAAAAAAGAAAGAAATATATCCAGTGAGTCAGAACAGTTTTTCAAACGTTCGATTCATCATCACCCTACGTACGGTATCGAGCTTTTCACACGATTTTCTATAATAAGTGTGTGTGTGTTTAATTAATGGGTTTGTTTTGAAAAAAAATTAAATAAAAATAAAAACTGAATTTACATAGGTCTCGAAATGTCGCGTCAGCAACTAACCTATTAACTTATAATTTTCCACGTCAGACATTATCCATGTAGGTACACAAACACGATGCAGCTAGTTCGCCTATATAAATAAATATAATGGTAATTTTTTAAAAAATACTTAACGCCGTAGAAACAGAATTTTATATTATTTCATATTAACAAACACAACACCGCTCTGTCGCTATAAACGCGTTATATGCCACGATCGAATTCGGATTTTAAATAAACAAATTATTTTATACCGGTTATAGCCTATAAACAAACATCGTTTTGTCGCTATAAACGCGTTATGTCACGGTCGAATTCGGATTTTAATAGAAATTAAATATAAAATTTAAAATACATAGACAAAATCTTTATTCAACATAAAAATCACATGACAAAAGCGCAACAATCATAATTCCAACTGCAATCACATTGTAACTATCGGATCACGTGTAGTCTGGTTCTCCACCGAGATGGCGGCGGCCAATGTGTGTGACGTCATGTGAATTAACTCTATTTGTTGACAGCAAATACAGCTAATAATTATCTTGGATAAAATACCTCGTTTAGTAAACGAGGCAATTTTACCCAGCATCGTTCTGAAAAAAATACCTCGTTCCAAAAACAGGGCAATTTAAAAAAAACACATTTTGGAACTCCAGACAAACGAGGTATTTTTTTTACCTCGTTACAACGTGGCAAAATCGGGGCAAAAATTTTGAAACGTTTTTGCCTCGTTTGGACAGAAATGCCAAACGAGGCATTCTGAGGTTTATAGTGTTAGAAGTTATTGTGTGTGCAGTGAGCCTACCCTAACTCGATTCCCCACGTAGTTAGTACGTTTACGGTAATATATCTCCAAAAGCCAGCATAGGAGGCTTCTGGATTTTTGTATTCTCGTAGTTTATTCATCCCTTGACTCTGTGAAATACAAAACATGTTGCCACGCAAGCTGGTTCGGGTGATTTTGGAGGAAACGTGGGCGTACCCCTTGTTTATTGTACCCACGAACTCCGCCTCGAATCAGGTGCTGGGAACTTTTCGGTGGTATAACTCGATACCCCAACATAGAAAGTTAATGAAATTTGGCATGTTCACACCTTATGCATCTGTCGATTTGGTGAAATAAAGATCTTGGAGGCACCAAAGCTAGTGTAGAAGTCATTGAGTGCGCAGTGAGCCTACCCTAACCCGATTCCCCCACATATTTAGTACGTTTACGGTAATATATCTCGAAAAGCCAACATAGGAGGCTTCTGAAATTGTGCAGTCTAGTAGTTTTTTCATCCCTTGATTCTGTGAAACAAAAAACATTTTGCCACTAAAGCTGGTTTGGGGGCTTTTTGATGCAGCGTGGGCATACCCCTTGTTTATTGTACCCACGAACCTCGCCTAGAATCCTGATGCTAGGAACGTTTCGGTGGTATAACTCGATACGCCAACATAGAAAGTTAATGAAATTTGGCATGTTCACACCTTATGGATCTGTCGATTTGGTGAAATAAAGATCTTGGAGACACCAAAGCTAATTTAGAAGTTATTGTGTGCGCAGCGAGCCTACCCTATCCAGATTCCCTCACATATTTAGTACGTTTACGGTAATATATCTCTAAAAAGCCAGCATAGGGGGCTTCTGGATTTTTGTATTCCAGTAGTTATTCATCCCTTGACTCTGTGAAATACAAAACATTTTGCCACCAAAGCCAGTTGGGAGTGCTTTTTGGTGCAGTGTGGACGTACCCCTTGTTTATTGCACCCGCGAACCCCGCCTCGAATCCAGGTGCTGGGAACTTTGCGGTGGTTTTAACTCGATACGCCAACATAGAAAGTAAATGAAAATTGGCCTGTTCATATCTTATCCATCTGTTGATTTGGTGAAATAAAGATCTTGGAGCCACCAAAGCTATTTTATAAGTTATTGCGTGCGCGATGAGCCTACCCTACCCCCCCATAGTTTTAGTATGTTTGTTAAGAATTTAAGTTCTCTTATTCGTTCAGAAATGGTAATGTGGTCCGGTTTTACATTAAAGACTATATGCCCGGCAACTCTTATCTTATAGGGAGCCACGGTGGCTAGGTGGTTAAGACGCTGGCTCGCTAGCCTGGAGGTCGGGTGTTCGATCCCTGCATTGGCCGAAAAATTTCATCTGGATTTTCCGACGTGGTTTCCTCTTGTCAGTAGTGCAGAACGGAGGGCCTGACAAGGACAGCTGTCTAGTCTTTCGGATGAGACGAAAAACCGAGGTCCCGTGTATACACTGGAATGCACGTAAAAGATCCCTTGGCAGTGTATTTTCATAAACTTTGTATGCAAATAGATAATTATACTAAAGGGCCGTCTGGATAGAAAATAAGATTTTGTGTGAGACAGGTGTCCTGGAAAAAAATGGGTTCACTAACAACACATATCTGGTTCTACAAATTGTATTTGTCCCTTCTAAGCTAATTCCTGTGCTAAACAAACCTTTCCGTTTCATCGCAAATTCCAATAAATAATTCATTTTTAGGGATTAATTTTAAATTCAGTGGCTACGAAAACTCTGAATATGATATACCACAAGCCTTACCTTGCGTGATACTCACCCATCCTAACTAGAATTTGTTTTTCGTTTAATTTTGGCGACCATTTTGGAAATCGGACAGAACCCCAACCGAAAATGACGTCAAAGAAGTGACATAATCTCAAAAATTGTCTCCAGTGACAAATTTTGACACAGAGACAACCCGTCCCCAAATATCGTTTCGACTGTGACACATTAGCTAAACGTTCACTAAGTTGGTGCCCTGCCTCGCCGACGTTCAACATTTTAAATTTGGCAGTTCACTTAAGACGTTTGTTGAGTTTGCGGCCACCGCAGCTGTACAGGGAGGACCACTTGGCGTATTTATTTATGCCAAATGAATAACTTAAGGAGACCACACACATAATTTGGCTATAATTATACTGAACATGATTTGGTAGTAAACGTCCATTCGACACAATCTAGGTCATTTTCGAACTAAAATATGGTTCAATTTTATTTCAATAATTCGCTTGCGCGTAGGTGCATGTAGCAGTGGAAGGAAACCGAGGGACCCGGAGAAAACCCACGAGGTTGGCCGTGCAACCCTAGGCGGGGTGGTGTTGTGGGGGGGGGGGGCGAAACCGCGCTACTTGCCTTAGTGACAGACCTTCCTATTTCACACGCACTGGTTAAACCACTAGACCATCCAACCCCACCCTCATATTAGAACTTTCTATACAGTTTATTTTTCAACGGTAGATCAACAGTTTTATGGTTTCGAGAAGCAGTACTTGAAACGTCAACTCGGGAGCTGGCAACACATGTCACGTCACTGTTTACCACTTTTCAATTATAACACAATTTAAAGCGTCCACATTTATAATTATTTCTGTTGAGTTATTCATATTTTTTTTAAATAGGATCTAATTAAAGGAGGAACTTATAATGGACCAATAGAAGCCGCCAAGGCAGTGGGTAAATTTATCCCTACTGATAGAGACAACGTAAAGATATTGGATATCGCTGCTGGCACAGGCTATGTCGGAGAAGAGGTAAATCTTTCATTTATATAGTGAAAAACGGGGCTCACATTGCTCGTCAAAGTCGCAAGTTGCAATAAAAATATGAAAGTGACGATTAAAATTTAATTTTGGCGATAACATTTTACGGTACTGGCGATTCTTTTTGAGAACTAGCAAAAAAAATCTTAAAAATTCTAATCGTATCCTAGATTAACCATTACATTGAGTGTCAAACACGTAGCAGTATAGGCGGGGCAATTTAATCTCAAAAGTGGAGTCATCCCAAACAAATTGCAAAATAAACCAATGCAGTTTGGTTAAATCATGCTTATATTAGACAACACCATACTCATATTCGGCCGACAATCAATAGATTTTCATTAAAATCTTACAATAAAAAGTGATAACAGAGAGGAAATGATCCGAATATAACAAATTTGACCAAACCAATTTTTAAAAAAATATATTTTTCTCATGGTACCGGCCAAATCTTTAACGGAATTATCAGTGAGCAGAAACTCGACCGTGTATCTGTTATCGCTCGTTACTTCAGCCTGTTATATACATCTATAATGATAACTCTTGTTTTCCATTTTTTGCTTCACTTCCCGTCTCTTAAAACCTACGTTATGCATCTATCTTAACAATGATCTCGGCATTCACATATGTGATAATGGCGGACACCAATATTGTCATTTAAACTTAGTGTTTTGTAATATTTTTGGATTGAGGAGGGTGACATCAGCCGCACCATTAGCTTGTTCGCATGAACTTGGATTTATTGCACTGATTGTGGTTGTATTGCTTTTTACTTTTCTTTAAGCCTATCGTTTATGTAATGCACCCCCGAATATTTTAGAACACAATAAATTATATTTATTTAACACTAAATTGCAGTAATTAACTCGTAATAGGTGTAATTTATAACTTTAAGCCGTTATTGGAAAATACGTATATGCATGGAAACATGCATCCACCAGAATCGTATTCGTCCAATTAGGTTATGAGGATTTTGACTTGGAAGCAGAGGCCCATTTAATAGCCCCGTACTTTCTACCTGATCATACTCCAGTAGATTTATAGCATGACAGATCGACAAATGCATTTTAAATAAATAAATACATAAATAAATAAATGAAATAAATATATAAACGTTCATCTGTTTTAGTTACACCAGATGGGGTTTCTTCACGTTGATGCACTGGAACCGTCTGAAGGGATGTTGGACATCGCCAAAGAGAAGGGTGTATATAAAAACTACATATTAGATATCCTTGGTGGAAAGAAATATTCTATAGGCACTGGTATGATATGATTTACGATGTTATATTCCTTACGTATATCTCACCCGGGAACCATGGTGAAATGAAATGGGATTTAACGTCCTACTGTTCTGTTCCGACTGGGCTAATGGGGACGGGCATAGAGTGTGCTATGAGAGAAATGACCTACTCTTATATCGAATTCCAACTGCCAAGGGATATTTTACGTGCATGTATACACGGGACCTCGGTTTTTCGTTCCATCCGAACGACTAGACAGCTGTACTTGTCCAGTCCTCCGTCTTTCACCACTGACAAGGGGAAATCCCGATGAATTTCCCGGCTAATGCAGGGATCGAACACCCGACCTCGAGGCTAGCGAGCCAGCGCCTTCCCACTTAGCCCTGGGAAACATGGTGTAATTTAAGTTTGTTATTTTATTATTATTTTCGTTTACCTTTGACGACACTTGGGCTAAATGTCAAGCTTGACCAGAAATCTAGCACACCCGCCGATTCGTGTTATTGAATCACACATTTCACCTGGCTCAACATTTTGTTAGAAGTGTCCTCGACATTGAAGCAGTCCCTAAACAACCAAAGAGAAAGAGCAGGAACTGACAGAAATTTGTTAAAGGGAGATAACCGCAAGAAAAATCCCAGGGTAAAAATTGTGTTTAAGTCAGGGTAAATGACACACCAACGACAAACCATACCCTTAAACTTCCATTTTGATCAGAATGGAAGGGGGTGGAGGGGGGGGGGGGTACTTTTAAACAGTAAACAATGGTCCAAATCACTTATTCAAATAAAAAAATAAATCGGGATAAAATTAGTTTCATTTCTAATCGCTACTAATCTGTTTTCTGTTTTGTTTTGTTCAGACTTTTATGACTGCACTGTTCAGATTAATAAGGCGGCAGTATTGTTTTGTTTTGTTCAGATTGTGATGACTGTATTGTTGTTTTTTTTACTCTTTAGATTATTATGGCTCTATTGTTGTTTTGTTTTGTTTAGTTCATTATGACTGATGTTGTTTTGTTTTGTTCATCATTATGTCTGTAATATTGTTTTGTTTTGTTTTGTTCAGATGATTATGATTATAGTGTTGTTTTGTTTTGTTTAGATTATTATGACTGTTCTGTTGTATCTGGTGGAATGGGTGAAGGTCATATACCTTGTACAGGTATTCTAGAGATGATACGTATAGTTAAACCAGGTACGTTTAGCTTCGACAGGGCTAATTAAGACGGGCGTACGCTATACAGTGGACAGTAGGACTGCGGTCTAATCTAATGTTTTACGTGCACGCCGATGTGTTCACGGATCATGGTTTTTCATCCCATCCGAACGAATAGACACTATCCTTGCCATACCTTCCGTTCTGCGAACCAGAGACCTATATATCGAGCCGGCGTCTTACTCGCCGAGCCAGTATGGACAGGTTATACCAAATCCCTGTAGATCATTGTCCTTTAAAGATAAAAGCATTAAGAAGTCGACAGTAAGCAAGTTCTACCCCAATGTGATTGTGCTTGCGCCAATCAAACAAAAGACCCTGGAGATTGAATCTGCAGTTTTATGGGTGGGCATGTAACCCAGATACTTTTAAAAGTCACCAATTTGTAGTTTTACTTTATGTACAGAATAAGTCAGTAACATAACGCTTATCGAATGTCGGGTGGTAGGATGGCCGAAAGGTTAGGGTGTGCACGCTGTATCATAAGGTCTGGCATTGAGTCAACTGGCGTGGTTTCGATTCCCCGGTTGTACGTGACAAGGAGTTGGGCCGCCTGTCCAACCTCGTGGGTTTTCTCCAGGTCATCCGGTTTCTTCCCACTGATAAAACCCCTACGCGGAAGCGAATTATTAAAATAAATATGAACCATATGTTAGTCCCGAAATGACCTAGTTTGTGTCGAGTGGACGTTAAACCCCATTTCTCCCTTTCCCTTATCGAATGTCAGATCTAAAAAGGACAAACACCCCACTCGTGCTAGAGGACATTTTCTTATAAATTATGATCGGTTGATAATTAATGCGTGTCAATGTCGATCCATTATAGTGTTTTTGACGATTGGGTGAGCAAATAATCGAAAGCATTGCGGATAACAGGTATGTCATATATGCAAGTCGTGGATTGCATATGCATAGCGTAGAAATGCAATAATTGTGTTAAATGGATGTTAAACCCCATTTGTCATATTTCAGGAGGTATCGTTGTCATAGCAATGAGAGAGGAATATTTAAACTATGTGGAAGAATATCAGAATAAGTTGGAACCAATGATGGAAGAATTGGAGAAAGAAGGAGTCTGGGAAAAGATCGACAGACGTATCTATGAAAATCATTTCGTGGGGAAAACTGGAGTTTTATTTCTCTATAGAGTAAAGGATAAGGGGGTATCAGGTCGATAAGTCCGTACTAAATACAGGATTGTTTGGGTTTTGTTTGGGTTGAACCAAAGAGGAAATCTCAAAACAAGTTTTTTTTGTCTAATATCTATTTTCTAATTTATTTTCTCAAATTCCGAGAATAAGTTCAAACACCTCTCAACAAAATACACCTTTTATTTCAAGCACCTCAATAACTACGTCAATATGTTCAAGCACGCCCTATAAGTTCAACCCAAAATACGTCAATAAGTTATAGCACGCCGAATAAGTTTAGCCCAAAAAACGCCAATACGTCTATCATTGGTTTCGATCCCACATTTATACATGTCAAGATGGTCGCCTGTCCAACCCCGTAGGTTTTCTTGGGGACCTCGTCTGTCCACTGCTAAAAACTCTTATGCTTAAGCGAAAAATTGATATCAAAATTGTACCATATGTTAGTCACGAAATAACCCAATTTGTGTTTGGACGCAAGTGTTGAAATTTTTGGATGGGTCCCAATTTACATTGTATCTTGTTATATTGCAATATATAAAGTGATATATCCTTGTTTTACATATTAATATATATAAAAATATAATTTTTTTGTTTCTCTGTTTATTAAATTGTTATCTATATCTACACGTTGTTGTTTTGTATAAATGCCGTATAACACCCAATGCTGAAAACAACTGTCCCACTGCTTTGTAACGTAATAAAGAAATGAAATGAAATGAAATGAAATGAAATGAAATAAAATGAAATAGGATTTAACGTCCTACTGTTCTGCTCCTAACCTGGGCGAATGAAGACGGGCATACGCAATACAGTGTGCTAGAATTCCAACTGCCAAGGGATTTTTTACGTGCACGCCAATGTGTACACGGGACCTCGGTTTTTCGTCCCATCCGAACGACTAGACAGCTGTCCTTGTCAGGCCCTCCGTCCTGCACCACTGACAAGGGGAAACTACGTCGGAAAATCTGGATGTACTTTCTCGGCCAATGCAGGGATCGAACACCCGACCTCCAGGCTAGCGAGCCAGCGTCTTAACCACCTAGCCACCGTGGCTCCCGCTTTGTAACGTAATAAAGAAATGAAATTGAAATGAAATGGGGAATACCGTCGTAAAAGTTCTGATCTAACTGAGTTAATGAAGACGGGCATACGCATGCACTACATTGGACATTATGCCCGGGCAGCGGGGCTGTGGCCTACTCTTATATCAAATTCCAAATGCCAAGCGGTTTTTTTTTTACGTGCACTCCAATGTCCACACGCGACCTCGGCATTCCGTCTTATCCGCACATATAAACCCTTTTCCTGCACCACTGACAAGGAGGAAACATTCAGAAGAACTCTCTCGTTCAATACCGTGATAGAACACCGAACCTCGAGTTCAGCGAGCCATAGTCTTACTTACTGAGCCACCGTGGCTCCCAAGTAATACAGAATCGGCGAGGCAATACCGATGTGATGTTGTCAAGTGAACATTGCGTACGTTTGGTACTATTAGAGAAAGCGAAAGTAAGTAGCATATTTAGGTAGACATCACACCTGTGTACACCAGATCAACTCTAAGGTATATCAGATTCCATAACTAATGGGGGCGGGGAGATGGTGATGGTGGAGATGGCCGAATGGTTAGAGCGTGCGGGTTGTATCATTAGGTCTGTCACTGAGTCATCTAGCGTAGTTTCGAATCCCCGGTTGTACGTGACAAGGAGTGGGGGTCGTCTGTCAAAGTTCGTGGGTTCTCTCCGGTTCCCCCGGTTTTCTCCCACTGCTAAAGACCCCTAAGCGCAAGCGAATTATTGAAATAAAATTGAACCATATGTTAGTCCTAATATGACCTAGTTTGTGTTGAGTGGGCGTTAAACCCCATCTCTCTCTCCCTCTCTCTCTTTCTCTCTCTCCGCACAACTAATGCCCTGATGCCGAACGACGAAACAAAATTCTCGACAACTATTGATACATAATTAAATATAAATAACAACCCTACCCGATACCCTCTCGTTCATAACCAACAACAAGATTTCCCTCGTGCTGTATAAGATGCATATATTTCAATTATAGCCTTATTTCATTGGCGGGAAAGTCAATGTTCGTTTGGAGTATTGTACTGTTGGTTGGAATTTAGTTGCGCTAAACCAGCCTTCTGATTGATGGGTCTTGGTCATAAAGATAGTACACGAAAGTAGTAAACGAAAGTAGCAAATGCGAGCAGTAAACGAAATAATTAACCGGAAGTAGTAAACGAAATAAGTAAACGAAAATTGTAAAGGAAATATCTAAACGCAAGTAGTAAAGGAAATAAGTAAACGAAAGTTGTAAAGGACACAAGTAAACGAAAGTTGTAAAGGAAATAAGTAAACGAAAGTAGTAAACGAAACTAAAGTTATATATTATAACTTTATTTATGAACATGAATATTGATATTTTGAGCTGATTTTGCCAAACTGAATGATATCCTCTGATCTGCAAGTTCACGACCGTGGTACATGACCTTGACCTGATAATCACCATGGAAACCGTTAACTGTGAAATAATTGGTGCCAGTTTTAGTTGTTTTTCTTGTCTCGTGCGTAGTCCATTGGTTCTCTAACAGATCTAGAACTCGACGCCCGGCAACATTCACCTGATGACTAATAAATTGATGCCATTTTTTTCGGGGGCTTTGGTTGATAATTATCAATCCACTTAAGCGATAAAAGTTAATATCCGTTGGACCGGTGGTGGCCAAACTACGGTGCAAGTAGTATCCAACCTAAGGGATCAGCAATGGCCAACCTACGAGACAATTGGTGGTCAATTAACCTATGGTACAAGTAGGGGCCAACCTATGGTAACAATGGTGGTCAAGATTAGGATGCCAATGGTGGTTTATCCAAGAGACCACTGGTGGTGGTTTATCTACGAGACCACTGGTGGTCAATCTACAGACCAATGGTGACCCACCTACAGAACCTAAGGTGCCTACCCTATGGCACAGCTGGAGGTCGACAGACGGGACCAATGGTAGGTAACCTGTTTTATATTGGGAACAATGCTGGTAAATCTACGGACCAATGGAGGTCAACCTGCAGGACAAATGGTGACCAACCTACGAGGCAAATGGTGACCAACCTACGGGACCAAGGGTTGTAAATCTACGGGACCAATGATATCCAACCTACCGGACCAATGGTGGCCATACGGGACCAAGGGTGGCTAACCTACGGGACCCGTGATGTACAGGTGGCACATTTGACCATTCCTGGAAGCACACTGCACCTCATGATAATAATGATCTAATATTATGTCTTTAATTCTCCCTAATTTACCACTGAACAAAGTGATAACAAAGAGTTTGTGGGTGGCTAGACGTTCTGTTCACAGAGACACGCAGATGCTTTTTCATCTTGTCGGCGATATTACACGGGTGGAAGTGGACGTTAAATAAAGCTTTATCATCTTTTGTTACAGAACCGCCTCATAATGTAAAAGGCAAATCCCCTTTCTATCTTGCTACTCGTGACCATGTTACATTAGCCAACTTTCAATTAAAGGTTTGGAGGAGAGGGGACCCACTCCTGATCTGGCTAATCAATCCCTTGCCAGCACAAATAAACATATGGTCATAGATATCATTAGGGCCCGATTACCAGAAATCTAAGTCTATAGATAAACTTTACCTTTTTCAAGATACGCACCACAAACGAACAAACAGGTTTACGAAACCAGATTTGATTCATATGTGACTGATATGCAAACGAAGAGAATTATTAATTTGGAAAGCATTAATTCTAATTGAGTTGTCTCCCCTGGTTTCGTAATGTTTTTAAATAGTTAAGCACAAACCGTAAAATCAGCATTCAAGATGGCGCCTTTTACGCCCCTCCAGTGGCGCGGAGCCCAAAACCCCCAAAATATAATTCCTTCCACAGCCGGATGTCCATACATACTCCTCAATGCGGTTTCATAATAATCCGCCCGTGTGTTTTCATCTGCTGCCATGACGTCCAGTTCTGTGATCCAGATTGGCAACTTGGCCTGTGCTAGCACATCAAGGCGAGCCTTAAACGAATGAGAAATGAAATGAAATGAAATGGGGTTTAACGTCCTACTGTTCTGCGCCTATACTGGGCTAATGAAGACGGGCATACGCCATACAGTGTGCTATGAGGGAAATTTTGCCCCCGGGCAGCGGCACTATCGCCTACTCTTATATCGAATTCCAACTGCCAAGGGATCTTTTACGTGCATTCCAATGTATACACGGGACCTCGGTTTTTCGTCTCATCCGAAGGACTAGACAGCTGTCCTTGTCAGGGCCTCCGTAAACAAATGAGAGCGAAACATACATACTATATATAAAAGGTCAATATTGGTGTCAGCCAATATCATATATGTCATAGACCTGGTTAAACACATTCCAAATATAATTTTAACACAGAAAACTTTGCTACGGTTGATCCGCAACAATGATTTCAAGAATCAGGAAGTGACGCAAAAAAAAGAATGAAAACCAAGTAGAGAGCGAGAACAGATACACAGTCGAATTTCAGGTCACTGATAGTACCGTTAAAATCGAAAAGTTGTTATATGAGACCATGACAGGATATAATATTATCCTTTTGACACTTACTTCTGCATCCGCCACGTGGATTACAAATCGCAATTTGGCATGTGCTCTAAAACGGCAATCAAGTACATGTACTGCATATATTCATTTCTTACCTGATCTATAAAAATTTCTTGTACATAAATCCAGTGAAAAATTGCCGCTGTGAAATAGATTGCCTATACCCATTGACGTACCTGTGTAAATTCACCTTAAGCTACAACATTGTAATCATTGAGGAATAGTTTAACAGTAGGATCTGTTTTATGGGCTTGTTTAAAGACTTCTACGTTATAATTCATATCTGATAATCTGTTCTGGTACCATTGCGCATGTAGGTTTTCATTGTTTACATCCCAGTGTTCAACTCTTAAAAGAAACACGTTCAATGAAAGAAACGAATGCAATGAAGTTGGAGTTATATGCCCAACAGCTCTCACCGATTTAAATTAAATCATTAAATGACCGAACCGCTCCAATCTACTTAAAATCGGATCCATCCGGGGTCGATTATGGTCTTAATAATTTATATACTATTTAAAACCCAAAGAAAGACCGACAATATGCAGATTTAGCTCTTGCATAATCCATGTTAAATTATTGATATATGCAATTTTATCTGAACAACAAATCTTTTTTCATATCTTTTAACAAGTATGCCCTCTTTGATATCCCGTTTCATTATGTAAATGCAAAATTTCTTGTTCTATGATTTGTCTTTGTAAAGCCGAGATGAACAATTGAATCTGGCAATCATCTTGAATATGGCACCGTTTCTAAAATACCAATTCTTAAATCTAAAAGCACAACTTAAAGTTAGATTACAAACCAACGTCTACTTACAACCCCTTGACTTTACTCATGCCACCAGTTATTCTCTGACTGACAGCTTGTCTGAGGAGCCTGACAGAACTTTCACCCAGGACTGGATAAATGTAGGCACCGACCATATTATATTATGTGCACGAACTTTGATTCTGTAGAAAATAATAAACCTTTTCACAGTAAGTAATTGGGATGGCGTGATCAAAGGGAAATAACTCCAGTAGCATTAAGACATAAATGATCAGTTGTGGAAAATAAAATGATAAAGCTATGCTGTTCACAAAGTTATTGATCCAGGATGTAAGAGGGAAATAATTCCAGTAACATTATGTCATAAATGAACAGTAATTTAAATGATAGACTTATTCACAAATATATTGCTCTGGGGTGATGTGATGTCAGAGAGATAAATCCAGTAACATAATAAAAAAGAAAATGATAAACGTCTTCATAAATTTATTGATCTGGGGTCGAGGGGAGGGGGGTCTACGGGGAATAACCCCAGAACATTATAACAAAAATGTTTAGAAACTAATTAATAATGAAACAAAATGAAGCGAATTAACAAATTATTCCCCTAAAAGCATATTTGTCAGATGAGAAGAACAAAAAAGTATTCAGAAATAACAAAATCATACCCGTGTTTTCTGAGCTCTTTGATTGTATTGACCGGTAAATCGTATTTAATGTTACCCTGGAAACACACATAGGAAGAAAATTAATAGAGAGCGAAATGAGGTTTAACGTCCACTCGACACAAACTAGGTCAGTTCGGGACTAACATATGGTTCAATTTTATTTCAGTAATTGACTTGGTTGTATGGGTCTTTAACTGTGAGAGGAAACCGGGGGACAAGGAGAAAGCCCACGAGGTTGGATATGCGACCCACTCCTTGTCACTTGACTGAAAGACAGACTTTCTGATACATTGGCTTCGCGCCAACCAAAGAAAATTAATTTATCTCCTTTTCTCCAGATTCAACATAAATTAGGACTAATTGAAAATTCCATCCACCTATGTCTGATGTACCCTATGTAACAGAACACTGCCATATTTCCCCCCACATGAACCAAATTGATTGGTCACACATAAAATAGACACTTTTTGTAAAAATCAAAAAAATGCTTGAAAATTAATTTCTAAATCAACCAATTAAATCCTAACATAGTACATTACTTATTTACATTTGTTCCCTAGTCATTCACCGTAAAGATATGGTTATGGTCTAATTAGTTACAATATTTTCTTAAAGGAAGCCGTCCTTTTTTCAGTCGGTTTTCAATCAATGTTTCGCCATAAAAACATCAATGTCGCGCCATAACAACGCCAACCTCCACCTATATCAACACCGATGTTGCGCTGTAACATCGTCAATGTCGCTCTATGACAACACCAATTTCGCGCTATAACATCATCAATGTCGCGATATAATAACATCAATGTCGCGCTATATCACCACCAATATCGCACTATTCAACATCATCAATGTCGCGCTATAACAACATCAATGTCGCTCTATAACAATATGAATGTTGCACTATAGCTTATGGTTGTTTTAATAACAATATGTCTGATATTATGAACAGGTTGGTTTAATTAAATTATTTACATATTGCACTAGCAACATCAACTTCGCATTATAACAATACCAATAATGTAACATTATATCAACATCAATGTCGCACAACAACAATATCAATGTCCGCTATGGCAATATCAATGCCCCACTATAACATCATCAGGTCAGTTAAACACACTGAACACGAATACAGTGGCTCAGTGATCCCCGGTTGTACGTGGGTTTTTGTCTGGGTTCTCCGGTTTCCTCCCACTGCTAAAGGGCCCTACGCGCAAGCGAATTATTGAAATAAAAAATAAACAATATGTCAGTCCCGAAATGGCCTAGTTTGTGTCGAGTGGACGTTAAACCGCATTTCTCTCTCTCTCTCAGTGAATATGTTCGAGTCTACTGTTTCCTGTTGGAACAGAACTGGCCTACTGTCATGGAATCTCGTGTTTCGGATGTAACGGGAAACCGAGATCCCGTGTAAACGATGGCCAGCACTTTAAAAGAACCATTGGAATATGTAATTCGTCGAAAATGACGTTTCCCGGGAGGCGCGGAAAAGTAGGACGTTAAACCCCATTTCATTTCAATTATTTATTGACTGTATTCAGGCAGAAAAAAAGGCCCGTCACCTTTAAGTGTACATGTATGTATATATGACTAATAGTAATTATTCTGCTGTATAAGAGACAGTTTTATTCTGTTGTATAAGAGACAGCTGTTTTAGTCTGCTGTAAAAGACGGTTGTTTCATTTTGCTCTGTGATCTCAAATTAAGGTGGGTGTCGACTATTATCTTATTTTCTTTTAAAATGAAAAGATCTCTGTTAGATTTGTAAATGAAATGAAATTGGGTTTAACGTCCTACTTTTCTGTTCCGATCTAGGCTAATGAGGACGGGCATACGCCATAAAGTGTGCTATGAGGGAAATTTTGCCCGGGCAGCGGCTGTTAGATCTGTTTTGCTTTTGATGCGAAAATGACGTTTAATTTTTATGATGTTTTTGTAAATGACTTATGTTACAAATGTCCTATTTCTGTGCATTTTACGGATTTTACTACACATTGCAAGTGTAGTCTTCTGGGTGCAGCCAATACATCGCCCCGGACCCTATGAACTCTCTTTTGTATAAATGTAGATTATTCTTCCAATCCTAGATGCTCTAATCCGATAAATGTATATCATAGTTTATTTTATGATCTCAGTGTCTTAAGACAGGTAGTGGGTTTGGTGGTGGGCGGGGGTGGAGGGGAGGGGGATAATTTGTCTGGCCCCAGCACATAGAATTAAACCCGGTTTCATCATCTTTCATTTACCAGGTTTTGGCTGTGGACTCGGAGAAACCGTACCCATTGAATCAATAACAGATCTTATGACTTAAAGCGAGAATTTCATATTTTCTAAGAAAGTCAAAACATAATTATTTATATGTCTTTTGCTCAATAGGTTGTCAAGTCACTATTATACGATCATAGGTGTCATTCTCACACTTGAAACTCATTTACACCGGAAATAATAACACAATTACCTCCCTTGTTTTCCTTTTCCCCACCATGGAATAGCTATCTTCAAACGTTGAAAATGATATTTTTGCCAATTTCTCAACTGACAATAGTGAATTATAGGATTAATAGGATTATTCTTTAACAAGGTAGGACTGTTTGTAGATACCATCTATTTTAGGGCTTTATTTTAATACATTTTAAAAATATAACATAAAAATATGAAATTGTAATTTTAAAGTACGCGCCCTTAACCATTCAGCAGACGGGCATACGCCATACAAGGTGCTAAGAGGGAAATTTTGCCCGGGCAGCGGCTCTATCGCCTACTCTTATATCGAATTCCAACTGTCAGGGCATCTTTTACGTGCATTCCAATGTATACACGGGACCTCGGTTTTTCGTATCATCCGAAGGGCTAGACAGCTGTCCTTGTCAGGCCCTCCGTCCTGCATCACTGACAAGGGGGAACCACGCCGGAAAATCTGGATGAACTTTCTCGGTCAATGCAGGGATCGAACGCCCGACCTCCAGGCTAACGAGCCAGCGTCTTACCCACTTAGCCACGTGACCCCCCTACTAAAGCAAAGTAAAGTAGTAAAGCAAAGTAACTCAAATCGTCGTCGACAAAAAACGATATCCATTACCGCGCACGTAAGCGATTTGTTTATAGCAATTTGTGGGCGCGGGCAATTAAAACCGCTTGTGTGTACTAGACTTTAGGTTGTCATTGGCTGTATTGTATTTTGTTTGCCTATGTCTGCATTGTAATTTGATATGCATGATAGGTTGTCATTGACTGTATTGTATTTTGTTTGCCTTTGTCTGCATTGTAATTTGATATGCATGATGAAGTATTTTGAACTTATTATATTGTTGTTTTCTTTTCGTATTGGATAAGATAATGGGCAGATAAAACTGCTAACATAGTCAAATTGTGTCAAATAAATCACTCGTCAGCGCCTCGTCTAATAGTAAGTGAAAAAGAATCACACTACACGGAAAACATAACTGATAAGACAAGCCAGAGGTCAGGACAAACTACACAGACATTAGAGAGAGAGACAGAGAGAGAGAGAGAGAGAGGAAAAAAGAAAAAAAGTAAAAGACTGACCAGCCTAATAAAGACTGACAGAAATTACCTTTGGGTGGATTCTGGGTCCCACTCTGATCTACAATGCTTTAAAGTCAATGGCTAATTTTGAGATTTGATCTATTAACTGTCAGGGACTAGGGGAGGCTAAGAAAAGGAGAGATGTTTTTAGGACCCTAAAACAAAGTAACGCAGGTATAATATGTCTGCAGGATACACATTTAGAAAATAAATTAGAAAAATACGTCCAAGCGCAATGGGGAAATAGAGTAGAATTAAGCCGTACTTCCTCTGAACAACGGGGAGTGGCAGTTCTATTTAACAATAACTTTGAATATAACATACTAAAAATCCAAAAAGATTGGAAAAATGGAAATCATATCTTCATTGAGATGGAAACAAATAACAGAACTTTCCTTCTGATCAATATATACGGTCCAAACCACGATGACCCTGCTTTCTATACCGATCTTCAAAACAGTTTGAAACATTTTAAAGTGGATTCTTTAATAATCTGCGGAGACTGTAATTCGACGCTAAATCAAACTTTGGATACATATAATTACAAACATGAAAACAATCCAAAAGCAAAATCAGAGGTTTTGAATATGTGCAACAAACTTGAACTTGTCGATATCTGGCGATCCTTTAATGAAACAAAAAGGAAATATACTTGGGGAAAGAATAAACCTGTAAAGAAGGGTCGCTTAAATTTCTTTTTGGTGAGTGAAAATTTGATGCCATTTATCTCAAATTCCGTTATCCAATCAGGGTACAGAACTGACCACTCGGCTGTAAACATAACGGTTAAAATAAGTCATCACAAAACGGCAAAAGGATATTGGAAGTTTAATAAATCCCTCCTATATGATAAAAACTTTAGCGAAATGATAAAAGAAAATATAAATCATATAAAAGAAATGTATGCAGTAAGTCCATATGATCTAAATTTTGTAAAAAAATCTGCATTCCATAATCTAGAGTTCACT